CAGTGCACGCAGTGTAAGGAGCCCTGGTGAATATATACAAGTAATGTACCCTACAGAAGTACAACATGTATAACCACCAGATACATGTTGTACAGGGTCTGATACCTCCATGGTATAACTGTCAACACTCTAAAGTATACTTATTTCTAACAAAAAAATGCACAGTCATGTACATTGTACAAGGTGTAAAAAATGCTAAAATCCAAGACTTGTCCAGACGGTATCCGGTTGTTTCGCCAACGAGTTGTTTAGCCAATGTCTCGTTCGCCAACGTTTTAGGTCGATTTGCCAACATCCTACCGGTCAATTCGCGAATGTCTAAATAAAAGTTTACCTTCACTTGTGTGTGCTGGCGGCAGTTCTCTTGCAATATTGTGTGCTTAGCTGATTTGTCTGCGAGAGGATTCTTAATCAATAACAACGCTGACTTGACCTCTTTTCTTTATCGTCTAATCGTTTGATGTCTCATCAAACTCAAAGCAAACCCCAAGCTGGATAATGAGTGAATATCCTAAGCCGTCATAATAATAAGTGCGAATCTGCTATGCTACCCATCCCGCTAAGATTTTTTTTTAAGGTACAAGAGGTTGGCCTTCAGACGGCTTATTCTGGTGATGATGTGGTGTACCAGTAATAATATCAGAAAGATAATGGCCCCACCATGAAAATTACTGTGAAAATTACCGCGATGTAGTGCTTATGAGCTGGCTTGTGAAACTATCAAAAACATGCAAATTGATCTGAAGTCAGTCAAGCGAAACTAGCTGTGACTTAAAATTTCTTGACCCAAGGATCACCCAAGGATCAGGATTGCATTCCAAACATCACTAAGCAGCTTATTTTTTTCATTAGTACTGGATATCTGACGTTGGCGAATTGACCAGGAGGACGTTGGCAAAGCAACATACATTGTAGGACATAGGCGAATCGACCTAAGACGTTGGCGAACAAGTCGTTGGCTAAAGAACTTGTTGGCAAAATAACCGCAATTCGTTCAGACATTAAAACACTGACAAGACGACGGCCAAATGCCTCACTACTACAAACGAGAGTGCCTAACCCCCAAGCAGCTACCTCCTCCCTTGATGTTTTGAACTCAAAACACCCCTCCTTTAATTTCACCATGGAAACTGCTATGGACAACACCCTTCCTTTTCTGGGAATGAATATTGCAAAGAACAGCACTATACTCAGCACAAGTGTATACAGAAAGCCAACAAACACTGGGCTTTACCTGAATTATGATAGTCATGTTGACCATCGCTACAAGGCCGGCCTATTAAAAACAATACTAAAACTCAAGCATTGTTTAAAAATTTGATGCAGGGTAAGTGCTATAGGGTCTGCTCAAATGGACAATAATTTATAATGCAGCATGTGAAAAATAACAATTTTAAAATTGAAGATATTATTTTTCTTTCAAGAAAAAGTTGGCATCCACAGGACGTTTGGACTAATCTGGACTAATCTGGCTAAAAGCTGGCTCTGAGACGAGAAGATTCACACTGAAATGAGGATTCCAAGATTTTGAGATCAAATCGAAAGTTAGAC